CCCCCTATTTTTTTGTATTATGAACAGTTAATGATATCAGTATGGTTTGTTTGCTACTTAAAAGTTTTTCAGCAAGTGTTTATTTATAAAAATGATAAGAAGTATTCTATCCAGTGATACTGTCTTTTTATTAACAATAAACTCTAACTTGAATTGGATTAGTGATTTACGTTTCCTACAAGAATGTCCAAGATTGATGCAAAAGTAAAAAAGGCATTACCCCTGAAATTGTTATTACATAGCTTTTTAAAAAAACCTACCGAAACTCAGTGTCTTTGGGTTTTCCCATCCTGAGGGCGCACAGATGTGTGCACACGGAATCAAATTATTCAACACTATCTTTAAAAGGTCTTTCAAATTGGCCCTGCTTGCTATAGGCGAGATTATTGTGTCCTTTCTCAGAGATTATTACGCCGGATACTTTTTTATTAGAGTGTCTATTTTGGGAGTCAGAGCAGGCAAAGAGAAAGAGAGAAAGAAGTCTAATTTCATGCTTGTTCTGCTGGGTATGAACAACGCCCTGCACACGCTGACTGCTGGTTGAAAGACTTCCTAAACTGCACATGGTGGAGAAATATAATGGAGGTTGACTTTATACCACCAGGGCACACTAACTCCATTAGCAGTATTTGTGTTTTTCTATTGCCATTTGTCAGCCACTGTGCCATTTAAGGCTTTGTGTCCATTGTGTGGAGGGTGTTATACAAAAGGAGATCATTAAGCGACTGATAATGGTGGAAAACTGAGGAAATGATCAGCTTAGTAACCAAATTTCCCCTCCGTGGGACTAATAAAGGTATTCTGATTCTGATTCTGAAATAGAAACCCCATCATGTACATGACAGAAAGAGAACCTGTTTTTACTGTTTTTACTGTATTACCTGTCCTATATGTCCAATTATATGGAGTATGTATTGTATGACATCCATGTTTGATTCAGTATATTGAGTGTAAGCGCGCTCAAGTAATTAAACCTCATCATTTTTATTTGAATCAAGTCCAAGAGAGCTTGTGATTCAAAAAGGTATGGAAATAAGATGTTTGTGACTTTGAGATGTTATATTTGAAAACCTTTAACTGTAGTCCAAGTTGTTTTTATGTATTAATTGTGTTTAAGTACAGTTATTTAAAAAACAAATGGCCTTTTAAAGGTGCAGACTGAATGCCAAGCATGCAGTAATGGAGGGAATTTCAGTATTTGCAAATATAATATCAATATTGCCACAATTATAGTATATGTGAACAGTCATCATCTCTCTATGAGATTTAACACCAGGGCAAACATTATCTGGATAAATTACTTTGCTTATTTTTATGTCGTTTTTTTGTGTAAAAGACACATAACCTGTGCAAAACAAACCTTTAACTACCTGATTGAATGTAAAGAAATTGATTCAATAAAGCGGCTGCAGGTTGAATATCAATTGCCAAAATCAATAATATAATGTGTAGCATAGTAACAAAATAAAAGTATTTATCAACATGAAAAATGAATACTGTTTATTAGGGTTTAAAAAGTACACTGCTCTATACTGTCATCGATTGGTGGAAGAAGAGGCCAATGACTTAAACGTGGGGGACGGAATTTAGTGCAGCAATTAACTGGGTATCCATTTATTTTGAGTTTCTCTTATAGCTAACCAAGTTTAAAAGGTGTTTATTAACCTTAGAGAGACAGGAGATGACACAACAATCTTCCCTCAAGATGCATAGTAGTTATTTCAGATATATTGTCAATATTTTTGATCATATTTGTAGCATGTACAGGTTTGAAAGCTAATGTACAGGATTCTTGCGTTTTAGTTTGTTTCTTTGTTGCATGTTGAGCTTACTGTAACACTCTTTGGATATCAGCTAAAGAAATGTGATGCAATGTAAGCTCACATATTCTTCATCAGCAGTCTGCCCATATAGTTGCCATTTGATTTGAATTAAAGCTTCAGAAAAGCTAGCATACATTGATGTGATGTTGTTCTGCCAATTACATGATCATAAATTATCATAATCAGTATCCAGCGTAAAATGTAATAGCTTCTAAATGTTAATGTAATGCTTACAGAAAAGGTGTATTGTCATTTGTCTTATGTTTGTTTGCAATTGTGCTGCAATTTCAATATCAGGCTGATATGATGAACACTTCTTAGATTGCTCTTGTTTCATTTTGTATCCTCTTGTTTGACGAAATCAGCAAAAAGGCTGTAGTTGCAAATGGTTCATGCACACATGGTGAACTCAAACGTACAAAACGAGCCTGTTAATAAACTCATGCAAAAAGAAATGCCATTTAAAACCTGTCCTGTAACGATGCATGCTGCCTGTGTGCAGGTATTGGATTCTGGGAAACGTCACATGCTGCTACAAACCACTTTGTTCGTCATTAACAACTAAACTGTGTGAGCTGCTCAGGTGAAAAATCCAGATAATGATACGGGTGTGTGTATATGCGTGTGCGTGTGCTTGCGTGCGTGTGTGTATGTGTGCGTGCGTGCCTGGGAGATGGAGAGAGGCTTGTAGTCTAAAATGCAATGTGACAGCTCAGGAAAAAGGGGGGGATGATAAAGGCGATGTTATTGGATCAATCTGGCCCTGAATGCCCCTGTAAAAACACTTACACACACACACACACACACACACACACACACACACACACACACACACACACACACACACACACACACACTCAAAAACACACTAACACGCACACACTATACGCGGGAGCGCAACTGCACGCATGAGTAAGAAAAGAGAAATGGAAAAGGAAAGATTAATTTACCTACAGTCTAACCCTGCTGTCTTGTTCGGGTCAAATCTGACCAATTTACTTTCATCAATCATAATTAATATAGTGTTTTACATTTGATTGCCTCAACGCCTATGATATCCTCCACAGAATATACAATTGCTGCTTTCAATGCATTTTGAGATGGTTTAGTTAACTTTGTAACACCCACAAATCGTTAATTTTGGAAAACATTTTCAGTGTCTATTCTTCGTATATTTACTGCAGCTATTCACAGCTATTATATTTTAAAGCTTAAAAAGGTGTTAAATAAAATGTGGTGATGTCTATTTTTGTGTTAAAGTAAGAGCAGTTCAAACAGACCGGGAACACCAAAGTAAGGAGGGAGAAACTAACACGACAGGAGGGTTACAATAAACAGGCTTTAAATAAAGGTGATATCCCTGAGAAATAATGGAGTGGGCTTATCAATCACGCGACAATGTCCACGCGCCTCATTGTTTTGACAGGGCTGAATTAAAGGACTACGCCAGGTGTAATTAGCCATCGATCCGGGAATAAGAAAAAAAAAAACTCTCTCTCTTTTCCTATTCATTCCTCGTGCTCTGCCTTCTCTCCATTAACCGCGCCTCTGACGTCACGGGGCGATTAGCGTTTCTTATTGGAGAGAAAGGAGCAGGGTTGACATCTCTCGGCTGGACCGTAAACGTGAAACAGCTCCTGCTCTCACACACTAAAATCCCGGTCTCACACACACTAACATCCCGGTGTCTGCACACACACTAACATCCCGGTCTCTGCACACACACTTTACATCCCGGTCCCTGAACACACCGTGCCGTGGCTGCAGGAAAACGGTCCTTCTTTCCCTCCTCTTCCTCCTCTTCCTCACTTTCTTCTGACTGCATGTTCAGCCACACTGCCTCCCCTCCTCTCCGCGTCTTCACTTCGGCATGGACAGCCGGGTACTCGAGCATCCTCACGCCCAGTTCGGAGGCTCCTTGGGCGGATTGGTGGGCTTCCCGTACTCGCTTGGTGCCCATCACCACCACCACCACCACTCCCTGTACGAGCTCGCGGGGGGACACCAGCTGCAGTCCGCGGCCGCCAACCCCTTCTCTATAGACGGATTACTGAACGGATCCTGCTCTGCCTCGGTTGTCAACAACCCGCTGCTGTCGCCCGACGGAGGGCAGTTCAAACTCTCAGGTAGGCCTGGCTCTTTTTGTCCCGTCTCGTATTATTAGTATAAGTAGACTCAAGTGGAAACAAAGCAAGGCAAGTGGGTGAATGTAAAAGGTCTGTTTTAAGAATCCGAATTCCTTTATATTTCCCACAGAGGGGGAATTTACATTGTAAAGCAAAAGTAAAGATAGAAAAATAAAACGCTATTAGATAAAAGGCATGATATTTTAAATAAAGGCGAAATAAGTCAGATTTGTGCAGACCATAATGTGTTAGGCTTTGAGCAAAGCTGTTTGAAATGGAGTCAGTCTGTAGACAATTATGTTGTTTCAAAGTTTTAGAGCTTGGTGATTTAGAAAATATATATATTTTTAAGTTTATGTCCAAGCTCATTAAGCTCTATGCCTGGCTCTTTTTATCTCATGTGTAATAGATGTGGAAACAATGCAATGTAATATACAATGAAACTGGCCTCTTTTAAGGCGAAATAAGTCCGTTTTTTGTTGAATTTAGATGCGAAATTAAACATTAAACAAGAACTACAAAGTCAGTCAATAGACAATCAGGTTGTTTCAAAGTTTTGAAGCTTGGTGATTTAATAAATAATAATTAAAAAGTTGATGTGCAAGCTCAATGTAGTTGTTCAATAACTTGACTGCACTGGGGGTTAAAATAAAGGCAACGATTTATAATTCAACTCGTAAAATTCAAATTGGCTGCAGATTCTTTAATACGTAAAACTTAATTTAGCAATTATGTGAAATGTGTTTAAATATAACAAATGAAAGTGTGTTAGCTTCGGGCCTTGCATTTGTGGCACTGATTTATTAGAGTCAAAAGATAACATGTTTAAAAGAGTCTTAAAGCCTTACAACAAAATGATGCTTTAGAAGCCAAGCCATGACAGTCCCCTCACTCTACTCTCTCTCTCTCTCTCTCTCTCTCTCTCTCTCTCTCTCTCTCTCTCTCTCTCTCTCTCTCTCTCTCTCTCTCTCTCTCTCTCTCTCTCCCACACACACACACACACACACACACACACACACACACACACACACACACACACACACACACACACACACACACACACACACACACACACACACACACACACACACACACACACACACACACACATATACACACACTTATACACACACACACACACACACACACACACACACACACACACACACACACACACACAAATAAACACACACTTGTACAAACACACACTCACCTCGACCCCTGCAGATTCTGGGGACCCGGATAAGGACAGTCCAGGTTGTAAACGGAGACGAACGAGGACAAATTTCACGGGGTGGCAGCTGGAGGAGCTCGAGAAGGCTTTCAACGAGAGTCATTACCCGGATGTGTTCATGCGGGAGGCGCTCGCGCTCAGGCTGGACCTCGTGGAGTCTAGGGTTCAGGTAAATAATAAATTAATCAAATATGTTGAAGAGAGTTATTATTATTTTTTGAAAGATGGAGGAAAAAATAGTTTGAGTCATTGTTAAAATTGCAGTATAACTACGGGTGTTAAAATATGCATAACATGTCAAATGTCAGAGGGACGTTTGTTTAATGAAGGCCTACCCCATACCGAGATAGCTATTTGTCAATTACGAAGGCATCAATACAGGGTCACTTTTGAATTATGCATGGAGGCAACCTATTGATTTATGGGTTAATAAAAACAAGGCTATTTACTGAGTAACCCAAGGGGTGAACATGGTATTGTTCTTTTACCTTATATATCATATTTATTCATTTAACAGTTTATTTACAATGTTACCCTTGTTTTTAATCTATTTTTGCACATTTAGGTATTTCAATTGAACAGATTAGGCTAATTTATTATTTTATTTGTATCATTATTATCATTTCGATTTATTTTCATTATCAATAAATGCAAAATACAGTGAAAGTATAAAAGCACGATTGAGCTGTATAGAAATATTAACAATATTTAAAAAAAATTAACAGCTGGTGATAATCATCATAACTCATGATAATAATTAGCAATACCAATAATGAATTACAAAAAAGCATGATAATGATAATTACCATTAACAATATATATATTAGTTGAATATGTCTTGAATCAATTATTTTAGAGGCAAGAAAATACAGATATTTTAATAAAAAGTTATACCCATCTTTCACATTTCAGAATTAGATGTCCATTTATTTAGTTTAATAATAATAATATTGTAATAAAATAAAAATATTATTATACCAGAAAGACATATAGGTTTTTCAAGTAGGCCTATTATTTGCTAAGCATATAGAAGCATGGGCTATGATATAGGCTACTTAATTTAAAAATATTCTCATGTATTTCTAAATGATCCACATATATTCGCCTGCACGCCTGTCTCTTGTGAAAGCGGTACAGGGCAGCTCTCGGTTGCAGTGTGCGTGTTGTTTGGGGATTTCGCTCCTAAACCTCAGATTATTGTTCCCTCAAGCTGCTTAGCGCTCCTTTATCACCAGGTTTGCGGGGGAAAGATATAACCAACATTAACAATTCATAAGAAGCGCCATTGTCACACATGATGTTGGTGTGTCCCTGTCCTTATTATGCAATGATCGCGGATTCTGCATGCTAAACTCCCGGCGTTATCAGCTCCGAACACGCGGCCCTGAGCGCACCCAGAGGCCGGGCAGGGAGCCTCTGAGGCGGGGGAAGCTGCCTCTGTTGGCCCGCTGCGGAGGGAGGAGAGCCGTGGGTTGTAAAGCCCAATGAGCGGAGGTGCTGGAACATCAGTGGTGGAAAAACCATTCAGATTCTTGAGTAAAAGTAGCGTACTAATACCAACAAAAAAAAAAAAAAACCTAAATGTCAAGTACAACCCATACTGCATCGAGAATGGTAATTAAGTAAAAGTATTTAAGTTTGAATAGGAAATTGTACTCAAAGTATTCGGAGTAAAAGTACTCATTGCTTAAAATATATATATATTTTTTTTAAAGCTAGAGCACCAAATCTTGACATTTAAGAAAATAAGAAATATTTTGCTTCCAATTAATTAACCAATTCATGGTTTTAGTTACTTGGATATAATGGTGGATGGTTTAATCTAACCAAATAATCATAATTAGAAAAGCTTTTCCTATTGTGTGTCAAAATCTGAATACATTTTAAAAATAAATATGGTGGAGAAAAAAGTACAACATTGGCATCCAAATGTAGTAGAGTAGATGTATATGTATAAAATGAAAGTACTTGTAAAGTACAAGTACACTTAAAAAACTGAAACGTTGACTTTTAAATAAGTGTATAGCCTATATTATGTCAACAAATTACACATAACTGTATAAGGTTAGTTGAAAGCAATACAAAAATGTTCAACCTCATATTATTGCTTTTAATGGGAAATCTGTTGAAATTACACATTTAATTAAAGTCAGCGTTTCAGTTTTTTCAGTGCACCTCAAATGTGTACTTAAGTGCAGTGTTTGAGTAAATGTACTTAGTTACTTGCCCGCATTGGCGAACATACAGAGACGGCTGATTTAGCTACGGTACAATTAAATGTAATTGGCAGGGTTTCCCATTACAGCCTCACTGGTAATTAACGGCGGCACATCTGTGCATCTGCTGGTCCTCCACTGTGACCTATTAACCTAATGTACGCTTTAGAGCTGCAGTAAACCAAGAAACACATGCGGAATGGACACTGATTTCACTTTGTTTCAGAGCTTTGTGGAATATGTTTTGGATTTGGAGGCAATATGCTTTTGTGCTTAGCATCTGATAACCACTCTGACACTGATTTATCACTCCAGCATGGCAGGTGTGAGGTCTGTTGTTGTCACACCAGAAGGGACATTTTCTGTGAGGCCTACTTCACTGATGTATTCTCTTGAAGGATATAAAATATAAGGAACACTTTTATCCAAGAAAATTAACGCAAATACTCAAGATCCTCAAAAATGACCACCAATTTTAATCAAATAATTTCCAAAAATGAACATCAAAGTGCCTTTATATGGGAAGTGTTTATTGCAGGGATATTGGACTTAATTTCATCGTAGAGGTGTTAACTAGCCTAAACTAAATCAATGCGCTGCTTAATAACATGTTTAATCATTGTCCCAATGAATCAATTATGTTAATTGCCAATTAACTCAACCATTGCTTTTATGATTATTTAGTCTGTAAAATTCCCCAGAGATCAAGGTAATGTCTTCAATTAGCCTTTTCTTCTCTAACCAACTCTCCAAAGCAGAAATATATTTGACTTACTTATAAACATTGGAAAATTAGCTGAAAATAAATCTAATCAGGAAAGCTAAAGGGATCTTCCTAAGTAGGTGACTTAATAATTAATTGATTACGGAAGTTCTTGATACTTAATTATCTGGATTGATCCATTAATCAACTCATCTCAGAACTTGTTCCAACAGAACTACTAAAACAAATATGAATATTCTGAACCAATTTATGACATACTTGTTTTAGGTTGGGTGAAAGCAATACTATTACGTTTGAATACAAACTATAAGGTTCAAGTTAATATTATTGCTTTCAACTAACCTTATACAATTATGTGTAATACATTTAATTGAAGTCAACGCTTAAGTTTTTCTTGTGTGCGAAATATCCACCTTTTGTGTGTTTAATGTATGTGTGTGTGTGTGTGTGTGTGTGTGTGGCCTAGTCATTCTTACTTGTGGGGACCTACATTTGTTTACACAGTTCACGTGTGGGACTTTGCCTCCGCCTGATGGGGACAAAATGGAGGTCCCATGAGGGGAATCCAATAATCTTAGGGTGAAGACTTGGTTAGGTTTAGGTTTTAGGGTTAGGTTAAGGTTAAGGGTTAAGGATTTAGGCATGTGTTGTTATGGTTAAGGTTAGGATAAGTTCTCTAGGAAATGCATGGTTAGTCAATGTAATGTCCCC